CATGTGTAAATAGAAAAACTACTGAAGCATGTGTAGATTGATCAACTACTGAAGCATGTGTAAATAGAAAAACTACTGAAGCATGTGTAGATTGATTAACTACTGAAGCATGTGTAGATAGAAAAACTACTGAAGCATGTGTAGATAGAAAAACTACTGAAGCATGTGTAGATTGATCAACTACTGAAGCATGTGTAAATAGAAAAACTATTGAAGCATGGGTAGATTGAAAAACTACTGAAGCATGTGTAATGAAGCATGTATTAACCAGTTGTAACATTTAACTTTGAACACATGACATGAATGATATCACATATACATGCTCTATTCCACTGTGTTTTTCATGTACTTAACTTCACAATATTTTATATTGAAATCCTTCATATCTGCCTTAGTGTACATATTTGGATCAAGGGGAGAAGGTTATAAGTTAGTAATGACTGTGATGAGATGTAAATTTGAGCAATTGTATCAAAATAAAATGATCAAGATTGTGTAGATAGAAAAACTACTGAAGCATGTGTAGAAAGAAAAACTACTGAAACATGTGTAGATAGAAAAACTACTGAAGCATGTGTAGATAGAAAAACTACTGAAGCATGTGTAGATAGAAAAACTACTGAAGCATGTACAGATAGAAAAACTACTGAAGCATGTGTAGATAGAAAAACTACTAAAGCATGTGTAAATAGAAAAACTAGTGAAGCATGGGTAGATAGAAAAACTACTGAAGCATGTACAGATAGAAAAACTACTGAAGCATGTGTAGATAGAAAAACTACTAAAGCATGTGTAGATAGAAAAACTACTGAAGAATGTACCTAGAGAAAAACTATCGAAGCATGTGTAGATAGAAAAACTACTGAAGCATGTGTAGATAGAAGAACTACTGAAGTATGTGTAGATAGAAAAACTACTGAAGCATGTGTACAGTACCGCTCGCGTATTTGTTAACATAATTTTGCGTATGATACGCGTATCATACGCGTATCGTTCTCGTATCATACGCGTATCGTTCTCTTATCATACGCGTATCTTTCTCGTATCATACGCGTATCATTCTCGTATCATACGCGTATCCTTCTCGTATCATACGCGTATCATTCTCGTATCATACGCGTATCGTTGTCGTATCATACGCGTATCGTTCTCGTATCATACGCGTATCGTTCTCGTATCATACGCGTATCATTCTCGTATCATACGCGTATCCTTCTCGTATCATACGCGTATCATTCTCGTATCATACGCGTATCGTTCTCGTATCATACGCGTATCGTTCTCGTATCATACGCGTATCATTCTCGTATCATACGCGTATCCTTCTCGTATCATACGCGTATCGTTCTCGTATCATACGCGTATCCTTTTCGTATGATACGCGTATCGTTCTCGTATGATACGCGTATGTTTTTCGTATGATACGCGTATCATACGTGTAGCGTATGTTAACAAATACGCGAGCGGTAGGGTAGATAGAAAAACTACTGAAGTATGTGTAGATAGAAAAACTACTGAAGCATGTGTAGATAGAAAAACTAATGAAGCATGTGTAGATAGAAAAACTACTGAAGCATGTGTAGATAGATCAACTACTGAAGCATGTGTAGATTGAAAAACTACTGAAGCATGTGTAGATAGAAAAACTACTGAAGCATGTGTAGATAGAAAACTACTGAAGCATGTGTAGATAGAAAACTAATGAAGCATGTGTAGATAGAAAACTACTGAAGCATGTGTAGATAGATCAACTACTGAAGCATGTGTAGATAGAAAAACTACTGAAGCATGTGTAGATAGAAAAACTACTGAAGCATGTGTAGATAGAAAACTACTGAAGCATGTATAGATAGAAAAACTACTGAAGCATGTGTAGATAGAAAACTACTGAAGCATGTGTAGATAGATCAACTACTGAAGCATGTGTAAATAGAAAAACTACTGAAGCATGTGTAGATTGATCAACTACTGAAGCATGTGTAAATGGAAAAACTACTGAAGCATGTGTAGATTGATCAACTACTGAAGCATGTGTAGATAGAAAAACTACTGAAGCATGTGTAGATAGAAAAACTACTGAAGCATGTGTAGATTGATCAACTACTGAAGCATGTGTAAATAGAAAAACTATTGAAGCATGTGTAGATTGAAAAACTACTGAAGCATGTGTAATGAAGCATGTATTAACCAGTTGTAACATTTAACTTTGAACACATGACATGAATGATATCACATATACATGCTCTATTCCACTGTGTTTTTCATGTAGTTAACTTCACAATATTTTATATTGAAATCCTTCATATCTGCCTTAGTGTACATATTTGGGTCAAGGGGAGAAGGTTATAAGTTAGTAATGACTGTGATGAGATGTACATTTGAGCAATTGTATCAAAATAAAATGATCAAGATTGTGTAGATAGAAAAACTACTGAAGCATGTGTAGAAAGAAAAACTACTGAAACATGTACAGATAGAAAAACTACTGAAGCATGTGTAGATAGATCAACTACTGAAGCATGTGTAGATAGAAAAACTACTGAAGCATGTGTAGATAGAAAAACTACTGAAGCATGTGTAGATAGAAAAACTACTGAAGCATGTATAGATAGAAAAACTACTGAAGCATGTGTAGATAGAAAAACTACTGAAGCATGTGTAGATAGATCAACTACTGAAGCATGTGTAAATAGAAAAACTACTGAAGCATGTGTAGATTGATCAACTACTGAAGCATGTGTAAATGGAAAAACTACTGAAGCATGTGTAGATTGATCAACTACTGAAGCATGTGTAGATAGAAAAACTACTGAAGCATGTGTAGATAGAAAACTACTGAAGCATGTGTAGATTGATCAACTACTGAAGCATGTGTAAATAGAAAAACTATTGAAGCATGTGTAGATTGAAAAACTACTGAAGCATGTGTAATGAAGCATGTATTAACCAGTTGTAACATTTAACTTTGAACACATGACATGAATGATATCACATATACATGCTCTATTCCACTGTGTTTTTCATGTAGTTAACTTCACAATATTTTATATTGAAATCCTTCATATCTGCCTTAGTGTACATATTTGGGTCAAGGGGAGAAGGTTATAAGTTAGTAATGACTGTGATGAGATGTACATTTGAGCAATTGTATCAAAATAAAATGATCAAGATTGTGTAGATAGAAAAACTACTGAAGCATGTGTAGATAGAAAAACTACTGAAGCATGTGTAGATAGAAAAACTACTGAAGCATGTGTAGATAGAAAAACTACTGAAGCATGTGTAGATAGAAAAGCTAATGAAGCATGTGTAGATAGAAAAACTACTGAAACATGTGTAGATAGATCAACTACTGAAGCATGTGTAGATAGAAAACTACTGAAGCATGTGTAGATAGAAAAACTACTGAAGCATGTGTAGATAGAAAAACTACTGAAGCATGTATAGATAGAAAAACTACTGAAGCATGTGTAGATAGAAAAACTACTGAAGCATGTGTAGATAGATCAACTACTGAAGCATGTGTAAATAGAAAAACTACTGAAGCATGTGTAGATTGATCAACTACTGAAGCATGTGTAAATGGAAAACTACTGAAGCATGTGTAGATTGATCAACTACTGAAGCATGTGTAGATAGAAAACTACTGAACATGTGTAGATAGAAAACTACTGAAGCATGTGTAGATTGATCAACTACTGAAGCATGTGTAAATAGAAAAACTATTGAAGCATGTGTAGATTGAAAAACTACTGAAGCATGTGTAATGAAGCATGTATTAACCAGTTGTAACATTTAACTTTGAACACATGACATGAATGATATCACATATACATGCTCTATTCCACTGTGTTTTTCATGTAGTTAACTTCACAATATTTTATATTGAAATCCTTCATATCTGCCTTAGTGTACATATTTGGGTCAAGGGGAGAAGGTTATAAGTTAGTAATGACTGTGATGAGATGTACATTTGAGCAATTGTATCAAAATAAAATGATCAAGATTGTGTAGATAGAAAAACTACTGAAGCATGTGTAGAAAGAAAACTACTGAAACATGTGATAGAAAAACTACTGAAGCATGTGTAGATAGATCAACTACTGAAGCATGTGTAGATAGAAAACTACTGAAGCATGTGTAGATAGAAAAACTACTGAAGCATGTGTAGATAGAAAACTACTGAAGCATGTATAGATAGAAAACTACTGAAGCATGTGTAGATAGAAAAACTACTGAAGCATGTGTAGATAGATCAACTACTGAAGCATGTGTAAATAGAAAAACTACTGAAGCATGTGTAGATTGATCAACTACTGAAGCATGTGTAAATGGAAAACTACTGAAGCATGTGTAGAGATCAACTACTGAAGCATGTGTAGATAGAAAAACTACTGAAGCATGTGTAGATAGAAAAACTACTGAAGCATGTGTAGATTGATCAACTACTGAAGCATGTGTAAATAGAAAAACTATTGAAGCATGTGTAGATTGAAAACTACTGAAGCATGTGTAATGAAGCATGTATTAACCAGTTGTAACATTTAACTTTGAACACATGACATGAATGATATCACATATACATGCTCTATTCCACTGTGTTTTCATGTAGTTAACTTCACAATATTTTATATTGAAATCCTTCATATCTGCCTTAGTGTACATATTTGGGTCAAGGGGAGAAGGTTATAAGTTAGTAATGACTGTGATGAGATGTACATTTGAGCAATTGTATCAAAATAAAATGATCAAGATTGTGTAGATAGAAAAACTACTGAAGCATGTGTAGATAGAAAAACTACTGAAGCATGTGTAGATAGAAAACTACTGAAGCATGTGTAGATATGAAAACTGCTGAAGCATGTGTAGATAGAAAACTAATGAACTTAATGTAATGAAGCTTGTATCAAAATGAAATGATAGAAAAAGTTTCCTTTGTCAAACAAAATTCCATTTTTTTCACTTTGCATTTACAAATAAGAAAGGCATGTGTATGGTACCTTAAGCTTTACACAAAGTTGTCCATATTTGAATCACAAGTTTGCCATTTCTCAATGATGTCAGATAAAGGGTTTGTAGCAATAAAGCATGTTTTTTACGGACCTAAATTAAATAAGAAAACATGTTACATTAAAAACAAAAACATTTTACACATTTTTTTTTACAAAATAGAGGCAGATCTAGGTTAAGACAGAACACATTATATAGCACCTAATTATAGATTTAAAATACAATATCAATAATTTTGTGGGTTGAAAATTTTTAAAGAATATTTTGAAACTAAACTTTTACTGATAGAGTTTTAAAAAGTGCTTTGAATTTTAAATACATATTTTTTAATACATACAAACCAAAAGAAACAAAACACATTTGCAATGTTGCAAAAAATATTTGCGAAATTCTTTAGCTGTTTAAAAAAACTGGAACTTAAATATAATAAGTGATACTAGTTTATTGCAGATATAAAGCAATTTAATTATGAAAATTTCCATACTTCTTAAACAACTATTGATTCATAAATGTTATTTAATATCAAGACAAAGTTATAGAAATAACACACATATTTTACAAAGATAAACATACCTTCTTTGAAACGACAGTGATTTGTCTTTGGTAAGCAAATTGTTGTTGTTTTGATTGGTAACTTTGTTTGATTGGTCTATAATTACAGAATTACAATTTCTAAAGGTTATCTATAATATATAATTTATGGTATTTTGGCGGGGTTGTTGGAGCCAAGAGGTTAATTGTGGGAAGCTTTAGTTATTATTTTGAAGGGTATTTTAAGACATTACGGTAGAATGAATTAATGAATGAATAATTTATTTCAACACGCGAACCATTGTAAACAGGCGAGTTGTTTTCCATATGGGGCGTGCGCAAATTTTACAGAAACAAATTTAACAAGAAAACTAAATTACGCATTTAATAAAAACGACAATTTTTTTCGACATCTCATGACAAAGACATGTTTCGACATCTCATGATGCCACCTTCAGTATAAGTGAAATAATAAGTGATACAAGGTTTATATAAAAGTAATATGATACATAAATTACAACAATAATAAGGAAATAAAATAAATTAATGGGGAGCGTCCGAAAGGCATCATGTGATGTCGAAACATGTCTATTTTAAAAAAATTTGTCGTTTTTCTTAAATGCGCAATATCAATAGTGCTTTTACTCAGTTGCGATAATACTAAATTAACAAAGTACAGTTCCTAAAACATTAAATTACATTCTATAGACTACAAACGTAGCTAAGTATTTACATTTAAATATTACGACATTATTTGGGAAAGTGAGCAGCGATTCTGTTTTAAATAGACATTAGAGAACGACTCTTTGAGTGCAATAGGTAATGAATGAGACTAAAATTTATTCAAAATGTAAAATGACTTAACACTTGGCGAACAATTTAAAAACGTCACATTTATGTATCGTAAACACGCATGATAATTCTTTGTCTTTTGTTTTACAAACCTTTTACTGGTCGACGGTTGAAACTTTCTGGTTTTGATATTTAGCGTACTGGAAGTTAAGTGTCATATGAATAGATTGCCATTCTATTCACTAAGATTGCTATGTCAAACAGTTTAACAAGGAATGAAAGCGAAGACGTGTGTTAAATTGGACACCACAATCAACCAAGGCAATCCAACACCGTATCATATTTTCAACATTACATTCAACTAAATGTTATCGCTTAAAATGACAAATACGAGTATGTTGTCTCTCTTGTGGTAATACAAAATGAAATTAAACAACTTCAGATAATTGTACAATAAAATTGATTACGTTTTAAAAATATTCCTAAAATTTGCCATAGTAAAAGCAACTGTGGAGTCACACAACCATTGTGAGCGCTCCGTTAATCAATAATTGGTGACCCCTCCTTGACCTTGCTAGATATGGTCTGAATGATCGCATTTATTAATTTATAGTACTTATACATAAATCAATTTCATTTACAGATTTAAATTGAGAAAAATCTGAACACCACACAAAAAGAAAATTCCCCTCTTGATGAATTTATAATAACTGCTAAATGAATGAAACTCTGCAAACTCTAAAATGCCAATTGCGATTGCCCTGTTTTGATGCGATAAATGGGTAGTCTTTAAACTGATTAACACCTATAAAATAATGTTGCTGAATACTTGCTGAAATTGATTACAACACTTTTTAATAATCAATTCAGAATTGGATTTTTTTTCACTGCAAAACACGTCCATCTTAAAAGCGTAAAGGACTCTATTCTTCACTTGGCATTTAGCAAGTCTAATTTTTGCTGTGTTTAATTACCTGGAATTTATTAAATTAGATTTTATAACAGTAAATTTTTGGAGGAAGTTTCTTTTTGTATGTTGTTTATATCAGTTAATTAGTTGAGAGTACATCTCAAAAACATTTCTAAACACACAAAATATTTCTGTTTTATTGACAATAACTAAAATCATAAAGTTGTATCACAATCACTAGTTCGTAAATTGATTTTCAATAAATATAATTTAATTACAAAAAGAATTCATGATAATTTTTACAGGGAGCCTAAAGCTCTAGGGTAACCGTCACTTAATACTCAAACTTTCCCCAGTGGCCAGTTACGATATTAATAAGCAATAAAAAACTTTATCAAAATAAAAAATTGAAGCAACTTACACAACCTTCACAAAAAAGAAGTTCCTGACCTGTTATTTAGACATACAGAAATTTAAGGAGTTTTTGGAAGAGGTTGTACTAAGTTGATTCAGTTTACCAGACCCTTATTGTGAAGATTTCTAACATTTTAGACTCCTGTACAAACGCAGTACTAGGAGTAAGTTCAGAAATTTTTATTATTTAGTTACACTTCATTACAAAACGTTTGCGAGAACTCTCGAGCATGTGCAACCCCAGACCTTCGGTCTCGGGCTTGCACTGATCTGCTCTCGAGTACTCCCAAAGGTCTTCTCGGTTTGCATTAGCCTGTGCAAACACAGTTAACATCTTTTATTTCTTAATTAAAGTTGAGAATTTACATAACGAAATCAATATTATTTACTTTTTATTTATTTATTTATTCAACTTGCTATGAATACAACACATACATAACTAAATGAAAGGAAACATACTACAGCTTTTGGAGGCCAACATGATGTCACAAACATTAAAAAAAACAATATTCCACTGGACAGTTGACGTGTCTTGTCACAAGATAGAAATATAGTTTTCCATGTTCTTGAACCGTCAATGTCATCATGTATTGTTTCTAAGGATAATTTATAACATACTCATAGCTTTTCCTTGAATTGACCAAAGCTGATCTTGTTGTCATACATTTAAATTGTTTAGTAATGCATTCTTGAGTCTAGTGGACCTGTTTAGAAACGACTTTTGCACTGTACTTGTTTTGTAACAATTAGTAACAAATGACAAATGGTTTGGATAGCACATAACCGTGTTTTACATTGGCTTAAAGATTTGTTTGTAGCGGTAATATTTCTTTATATAATATAATTATAAGTATTTAAATAGTTCATTTACTTTTAGTTGAAACGAGATCTTTACTCTATAATGATATGGAATGGTCAGACTGAAAACGAGAGGTAGCGACTTCTAACCTTCTTGATAATAAAAGAAAAATTGGTTGTGTGCTAGTGTGTTTAACAATGACAATTTAGTAAAAAAAGCATTAGCAATGCTATCTCAAACACCTTTTTGACTGCATCATTTTGCATCATTGATCCTTCGTCATTTTATTGAGGACTGATGGTGTGATCTTTGAGTCTCTTGATGCTCTATTTATTGGACGAAGGAAAAAAGCTGGGCAGTGTCTTGGAAAACCTCTATTTGGACAACTGATGTTCCATGATCAGAAACACGTTGATCAATTTGTTGCCATTTATACCACACTTACATCAAACAAGGTCAATGTAGCTTTAATATACTTTATTCTAATAAAAATTCAAGATGAAGGCATGGAAGTCACAGTGCTTTGAATAGATTTCACTTTTTTACATTCTTTACCACATAGTTTTTATTTTCAATAAATTTTTGCCATGGGCTTTAGGAAATAAAGCTCTTGTATACTTTTTGTTTATTACATATTGATACTTATAGGAATGTCAATATTTTCTTGCTGGGACTGCTGTTTGATCTATGAATCGCTACAGAGCTCTTGATGAAACAGCAATCTTTGGGCAAGGCTATCGACATGAGTTTCCTAAAAAATTCTTAAATTTGAAACATGGAGAGAGGTTGTTACACACATTTTCGTCTATTTTTACCTAAATGTTCTTGGTTTGAAAGAGGTGGTTAGGATGCATGCATTTGATGGTGTAAATGTATTTTTTTCAGCTGGTTTGCTACTTTTAATGCTTTGTGCAAGTGCTGAAGCATTTTTCATACATGTGGTTTCATTATTTAAAAAATATTCTACATATTTTATAGATTGAGCGATGCAGTTTATGTTCTCCAAGAATTAGAGAAAGATAATGCTGATAATCCTGCACTCAAAATAAACATATTGTATGATGTTGCATGCATGTTGGTGAAACACTTACAGGTAATATTCAATTGACAATAGTTGCTTTGTTACCTGTTTCCTTAGTCAGTAACTTCCCCTCAACACTTTTTTTCTTTGAAAAGGTAGTCTTTCACATGTTTTTCTTTATTTTGTTTTTTACAAAAAGAATTTGGAGGATCCGATTGTTGACATTTTTCAATTTTCAATTCCAATTTTTTACTGCTATGTGTATGTTGGACGATGCCAAGTTAGTTGTTATTGATTTTATTTTTCATACATATTAGCAGATTGTGATACCTATGCTGTCATAACTAATGGTATTGTAGATGATAAAATGATAAAAATTCAATAATTGTTTACTAAATCTTTCTTGTAAAAGGTTAAATTTAGTCCCCGTCGTAAAGAAGGATTTGGCCTAACTGACGGTGAGATGTTGGAGAGATTGTGGTCTTACATTCGCAAATTTAACAGAATGACTAAAGAAATGCGTCCAAGTTACAGAGTTAATGTACTCAGTGATGCTCTTTTACATCATGGAAAGAAAACTAAGATTAATTTAGGTATAGCTAGTTTTTCTTTCTTTGTTTGAACATATACATAGCTAACATGTCATCATATTATGTAACAAAAGGTATGAATTAAATTTTGTTTTTTGAGGCAATTTGCTGATGGCAATGATGAAGCGAGCTGTTGAAGTGGAAGAAACTGCAAAATCAGATATTGAAAAGTTATGCAGGTGCTTTCCGTGTGAGTATATGTTTGTATTTGTTGTGAGATTATATTTGACTCTGATTTTGGATATGAACTATTTACGACTCACATGAAAGCATGAATGTTTTATGCAGTGCGGTGTTTGAAATTAAATGAAGATATGATCTTCGCACTTTGCTGGACAATTTAAGCAATCGTCTCAGGAACCTGAAAAAATCAGGTGACTCAAAGAATGAGTTGTAGATTTGGTGGATTGGCGCGAAGTTTCGTTAATGTATCGGAATTATTCAATTGAATTCATATACCACCATAGATTTAAATGAATCAGGGATTGTGTCTTTAAATCTATGGTGGTATATGAATTCAATTGCGCGGGATGTAATTCCCGATACATTGGCGAAACTTCGCGCCATTTATCCACCAGAATCAGGGAACATACCACAACAGACAAAAACTCTCATATCTACTGACACCTTCTTAAATCTCACTCATGCAAAACCAACTATTCACCCTCTTGTTTCAAAATCATCGACACTGCCGACACCTCATTCACCCTTAAAATCAAAGAAGCACTTCACATTAACAAAACTAACCCTGACCTCAATGTCCAAGTTTTTAAATTCAATACAAATATTTAGTTTATAATACGCTCGGACGCTCCTCATTAATTTATCTTATTTCCTTTTTATTGTTGTAATTTATGTATCATATTACTTTTATATAAACCCTGTACCACCTATCATTTCACTCATACTGAAGATGGCATCATGAGATGTCAAAACATGTCTATTTTCAAAAACGTTGTCGTTTATATTAAATGTGATTTGGTATTTAGTGTTTAGAATTGACGAGCAGTTGAAGATCATGGAAAGGGAAAACTCAATTTCTGCACGCTGGCAAAATACTGACTCAGAGTACGAAAATGCAAAACGCGAGGTTGCGTCTAGGAAAGAAAAATGTGTTTTGTCTCCAGTGAGAAAAAATGTTGTTGAAAGATGGTTTCTCCTAAATCTTAAGTCTAAATACTGTGGTAACTATACGTATCTCATAATTGTTCCATACCACTTGCAATGTTTGTAAATTACTTTACATGTTGCCTTCTTTGTAATGTTCTCTGTATGTTTGTAAATGTTTCTGTATGTTTGTTCTGTTTTTCAGATGGTCAAGCGTTGGCATCCAGACTTTCGAAGCAAATTACTCGAGTAACAAAGGATGTCAATAAAGATATCGCAGCTTATAACGAGGCAAAAGAATCACATTCTAATCATTTACATACCGCATTAACATTCGATGCTGACAATGATTTTTGGTGTGAATATCTAGCTGCACCTACTGATGAAGATTGTTCAGTTCCATTTACTGTTAAACGGAAGGCTATAGATTTATGCCATTTGCTTGACAGATCCAAGGAAGAGCAAATCTTATTGAAGTAAGAAATGGAAAATACGTGGAGTCACTACTTTCAGCAGCACGGCAAGATTACTGACTTTTTGAATAGTTTTATTAACCATGAAAACGTACTTGATGTTGAATATGGTAAAGCGATATTTTTACACACGACTATGAAAGCACCAGCGATGATGTATAACAGGTTTGTGCAGTCACTTCAAGCTCTTGAAAATCCTTTAATTAGAAAATTAATTTACTTAAAGGGCACTTGAAAAGTTGTTACGAAATCAAAATCAAAGAAAGCACTTAAAAAGTGCTTATTAATCACAAAATTAAAACGAAATCTACTCAGTATTATTTCATATAAAGCTGAAGAGAATTGAATGTTTTTGAGTTGCTAAATGGTGAAGTTTTTCAAAAATCTATTAATTATTATTTCGATTCATTGGAAGCCAAAAAAACCGTATGCCAACGGAAGCAGAAACGCCAAGGTTGTGTAATATTAGTAACTACCTCTAAAAGCACCAGCGATGATGTATAACAGGTTTGTGCAGGCATTTAAAGCTCTTGAAAATCCTTTTATTAGAAAATCAATTTACGTAAAGGACACTTGAAAAGGTGTTAAGAAATCATGTATAATAGCCGCCCAACGTACGTATGCTTATAAATGCTTTGAAAAAAGGTTATTGTTCAATAAATACTTGTTGAACTGTCGTATGCAACTTTTTGGTAGTTATACAATGTAGTATATGGTGAAAATTGATGTTTTATATACATGGGTAATAGCCGCCCAACGTACGTACGCTGGATAATAAAAGTGTTGAAAAAAACTTTTTGTTGAATAAATACTTTTTGAACAGTCATATGTAACTTTTTGGTAGTTATACAATGTAGTATATGGTGAAAATTGATGTTTTATATACATGGGTAATAGCCGCCCAACGTACGTTCGCTGGATGATAAAAGTGTTGAAAAAAACTTTTTGTTGAATAAATACTTTTTGAACAGTCATATGTAACTTTTTGGTAGTTATACAATGTAGTATACGGTGAAAATTGATGTTTTATATACATGGGTAATAACCGCCCAACGTACGTTCGCTGGATAATAAAAGTGTTGAAAAAAACTTTTTGTTAAATAAATACTTTTTGAACAGTCATATGTAACTTTTTGATAGTTATACAATGTAGTATATGGTGAAAATTGATGTTTTATATACGTGGGTAATAGCCGCCCAAAGTACGTACGCTGGATAATAAAGGTGTTGAAAAAAACTTTTTGTTGAATAAATACTTTTTGAACAGTCATATATAACTTTTTGATAGTTATACAATGTAGTATATGGTGAAAATTGATGTTTTATATACGTGGGTAATAGCCGCCCAAAGTACGTACGCTGGATAATAAAGGTGTTGAAAAAGCTTTTTGTTGAATAAATACTTTTTGAACAGTCATATGTAACTTTTTGGTAGTTATACAATGTAGTATATGGTGAAAATTGATGTTTTATATACATGGGTAATAGCCGCCCAACGTACGTACGCTGGATAATAACAGTGATGAAAAAGTGGAGGTTTTTTTGAATAAATACATTTTGTCCATCAAAACACATATGTAACAACTGTTATGTTATCTAAACAGCTAATGGAGTTTATAGCGTTGCATGGTGGTGAAAAGATTTACTTGTGTTTTTGAGGTAACTATTTTGATTCATAGCTAACTTTGATATGAAATATATCTATAAATTGGCCCATCTTAGGGCCTGTTCATATGAGCCCGGGTAGCCGGGATTCAGCGGAGCGTTTAATCATTTTAGCAAATGGAAAAGATTAATTCCTTCACAACAAAAAACCTATTTAAGCAATTTCTCTATGTTCGGAATTTGCAAATTCACAAAACCTTTAAAATGAAAACAAATAATTTGGCCAGGTTTGAAAATTACAACTAGAATGTCTCATGACTTATAAGAAAGGTTGTAAGTTTTGCGTTTAAAGTTTTTACTCCTTTCAATACCTCAAAATCATTTCACGTCTCGCTGAATCCCGGTTAGCTGGGCTCATGTGAACAGCCCCTTAGTCACCAGTTCAATTAATCGTTAACTTGACTCTGTTTGACATATTTTTTTCTGCTTCTTGTAGTTGTAACTAAAGCATCTTTTATTTTAACTATAGAAAAAATTGAAGTATACTTGTTTCCTGTACAAGAATTCATTATTTTTTGATAAAGTAGTAGAACTTAGCTAAAAAAGAAAATCTTATTCAGTAAACCTAAACGAAAAACAGCGCTAGCTCATCGTCAATAGTATGTTTAGACGACATTGAGTCATAAGAGTAAATCAGTATGATACATTGTCAAGTCACCTCAAATTTTTACAAGATCCACTACAGCTTTCAGGTTTTTCGGTAGACAACAAGGTTAGTCACTTTCAGAGTCTGCACCGTCTTGAACTCCACTCGCACAATTATAAAATTTTTTCAGCGTTATTTCGGAGACAACGCTCAATTTTTTGTATACAATATATGCAGGCCTATATAAAATATCATAGTTTCACTGTCACATAGCTTTCACAACAAAAAAAACGTCTTGGAATTTGGCGTTAGATGAACAACAAACCTCAGGGAATAAAACGTTATACATGTAGTTGATGTTCATTGAATTTGTTTCATCAAAGGATCGAAAAATATCTGTGACTATTTCTTTGACTACATTCAACAGATCTTTTGCCTATATATACAAAAATGACGAGTTAAGACACCAGTGGGGCTCTATTTCTAACAGAGAATATGTTTTTATACTTGAGTTCGAGTTAAAGGACACGTCATGTAGAGATCGGTGAGTTCAGTCTGAGCTTGATTTCGCCCATGGATCATTTGCTTAAATAACCTGTGGCGTTTACTGGGTATGGCACCGTTGACGATTTTTGTTAAATGTGTCTAAAATTCAATGTTAAAATATTATAGGTATGTTTATCTGCAACTGATATTAAATAATTTAAATTCTAGCATAACCTTTAATCCTCTGAATGAGGGATTTCCCTTTATATTTATGTCAAATATTTTCGCAGATCTGTCAAGGAAAAGATAAAAGAAATGAAATATATTTATTCGTGTGTGTTCAAGAAACTCACATTTTAGAAATAAAACATTTAAGAGCACGAGGAACGTATTAATAACTATTATGAATACGTATGTAAATAAATCGGTGATGCGCAAAAATGAACAGGCTAACAGTTCGTAGTTTAGAAAAAGTGGATGTATAATTTACCCATGAGTAAAGTAAGATACATTGCATCCGCAATCAAATTTTCCTTTCGGCTTCGTCGTAATGCCAACGCAATCCCAATGGTACCATTGTTACAAACATCACACAACACCCAATCCACCATTCCATTATCTTTGGAAGAAGGTTCTTGACAAAGAAAGGCTTTACATTTGTCATAGGATGTCAAATGACTAGCTCTTTTCTTTGTATAAGACACACATTTTCTGTCACTGGACTTTGCCTCTTCTCTTTTTCTTTTGTTGTTACTTCTTCCCTTCCTGTGTTCTTTATCAACTTTCTTAGGCTCAGCGTTTTGTGTAACAAGGCGCCCGTCACCTTCATTAACTGTTCCGTCTCGTCCACAAAATACATTCCCAGAATTACCATCATCATCGCCATCATTATTTACAGCATCTTCTCTATCGCCGGGAACATCACCATTTTCACAACCATTATCAACATTATCAATTCTTTGTCCATGGCCAACATCATATTCGTCGGAAACGTTGTTAACAAGTTCGCCATGACTATTATCATCATTCTCACCGCTAACTTCAACAACTTCTTGGATGTGGCCGCCATTGCCTTGCTCTTTGTCACATTCCTCAACATTTTCTGCATGAAGAACATCATTTCCTTACACAATCTCCCTTTCTACATATGTAAGCTCATTTGATTTTTCAATAAATAAATCCAATGCTGCTTCTCCCATAGTCGATGGATCCCGTAATGATGCGTGTTTTGGAATTCCACATAATACATATTTGAAATCCCCTTTCAAAAGAGAAGTGTATGGCACTTTTGCTTTTTCCATTCCAGTTGCTTCACCTAGAATGTTTTTTTTTGAAACTAGTATAAGCTATTCTTACTGAAATTGCCGCAGGATTGTGTGCAACTCCTTTTATTAATCATTGCTTCTAATATTACAAATTTTCATTCAGAAGTAACTGTACTTACTTCAAAAAAATATTGACCAAGAACAACCTTTTCATATTCCATCTAAATGTTTTACAATTAGTTACAAGTTCATACTTACAGTATTTCTGATTTAAAATATCACGCAAAGATTTTCTCTTCTGTTTCAATCTTGCCATGCGATTCTCGGTAACAGTTTAAACGTTGTCGGTTGACTTAATTGCTACAACCAAAAAAGTTTGTATTAGATTATAATATTAAATAAGAAACAAAATTCACAAGTTCTCAGTTGTCCTGAGAAGAAAAATGTATTTCGTCACAGGCATGATATAAAGTGACGACCACAAACCTCTAGAGCTGTTTACAAAAGTAAAATGAAGCGGAGATGCTCTTTCTTTTGCAGTATTGTAAGACAGACTTTGAGCCATGCACTTCAACATCCACGTCAGCCACGAAAAAGTAATCAATGTTCAACCCTTTCAAAACATCCAACTAAACAATGGCACCGATAGCATTAAAAAAGGTACTTGCAAAAAGTTGGTTCAACCCTTACAAAAATAAACTATAGTTTTGAAAACTTTAGTATTTTGAAACAAAAACTGTAGTTCCGAAAACTATAGTTGTATGAATAAACTATAGTTTTCGGAACTATAGATTTGGGGATACTATAGATATAGAAACTAAAGTTTTGGGAGAAATGTAGTTTAACAATTGATAGTTTTGTTCCCAAACACTACAGTTTTCAAAACTACAGTTTTCCAATGAATCCATGTTATAATGTAGTTCATTAACTAAGGGTTACATAAACACAATTTAGCAAATTCCCCGTACAGATTCTAGTAGTACACATTATTTTATACAGAATTCAATAAAACATGAATCCACGATACAATTCCGGGAGCATTGTTACATGTTTGTAAATGTAGATCGTCCAGATTGGTAAAGTCCTGAGAAGGACTGTTTTTGTTGCTGTTGACTGACGTTTCGACAACCTTAGCGGTAGTCATCTTCAGAGTCAAATAAGTAGTAAACGTCAGGTTAGCCGTATTTGTTATATGGTTCTTACGTCATTGTATTGTGTGTACAGGAAATGTGTATTGTCATTGTGAATTAGTGTGAAGTGTAATGTTTTTAGTTAATCGTTTGTTTGTATTGTGAATAAGTCTTTTGTAAGGTGCCGGTAATTGCTGTGATCTGTTCAGGGGGGGGGTTTGTTCCAAGTTGGTATACCAACTTTCTAATGTAAGCCGTTGTCTATAGTCAGTACTGTAAGTAATGCATTTTGCCGAGTCCCAGTCAATGTTGTGATTTGTGATTCGGTGATGTTCGGCAATGTGATTAGTTTTGTCTTGTTTCTTAGTAGCTCGTTTGTGTTCAGTTAGTCTTATGTTTTAATTCCTGCCAGTTTCTCCGATATAGGAGGCGTGGCAGTCGGAGCAGTTTATTTTGTAAACTGCACCTTGTCGTTCGTTGCGTTGTTCTTTGTCCTTTATGTTCGTTAGTACTTGTCGTAACGTTGTGATTGGTTTACATACGTTGTATGGTCGTAAGATAGGCAAGATAGTCTCAAACGTACCTTTAATGTAAGGTATCGTTGCTGTTGTCACTGAGTTGTTTGTTTCGTTGGGTTCGTTGGGTTAATAAGTTTTGCGTTTGATAAAATCAGAGTTATAGTTGTTTTTGTGAAAACACGTTTGAGATAGTTGTTTTTGTTGTGTAGAGCGTCCGGTGAATCACATATGATTTGTGCACGTCTTGTTAATGTTCTGATTGTGGTGGCTTTGTGTGATGTAGGGTTGTAAGATGATTGGTCTAGTAGTCAGTCAGTATGTGTTGGCTTGCGATAAACTGTTGTTCGTAGTTTTTGATTGTCATGTTTTACCAAACAGTCGAGAAAAGGAAGAGTTCCGTTTTCTTCAACATCTTTGGTAAATTGTATTTGGCTGTTCTGTTTGTTGATATGAGTGAGAAAGTCATCAATCTCGTCTGCATGTAGTGCTGTGATTGTGTCATCTACGTAGCGGAACCAAAAAGGTAGTGCATGTTTGTAAGTCGTGAGCGCCCGTTCCTCTATAGATTGCATTACAATTTCAGCAACTACAACAGAAACGGGTGAGCCCATTGCTGTTCCATGTAATTGTTTGTAGTGTGTACCTTTGTACTGGAAGTAAGTCGAGGTGAGGCAGAGCTCCAGTAGCTCCATAATGTCTTCTGTCGGTAATGGCAGTACGTCCGTGGTGTTTGTAATGAGGAATTTTGTACAAGTAAGTGCCAGATTAAGTGGAATACTGGTGAACAGTGATTTCACATCAAAAGACACTAGTATATAGTTGTCCGGTATTTGTATAGTGCTCAGTTTTTTAATGAAACTTTCAGTGGATTGCAGCTTGTGCTTGGATTTGTTTGTAAGTGGTTGCAGTATGTCAGTCAAGTACTTTGAGAGTTCGTAAGTGGGCGAACCACAGAATGATACAATTGGTCGCATGGGTATTTGTGGTTTGTGAAGTTTTGGTAGTCCGTATAGTCTGGGTGGTCGTGGTACTGAACATCTAAGTCGATAGTAAATACGTTCAGATATAATGTTAGATTTTCTCATCGAGAAGATCTTGCTGTTTAGTTTGCGTACTAGTGATGGTGTTGGGTCTCGTTTGAGATGTTGGTACGTTTGTCTGTCGTTAACAAGGGTGACCATTTTGTTGAAGTAATCGTTCTTGTCCCTGACCACAGTCACGCGTCCTTTGTCTGCTGGTAAAATGACGATGTTGTTGTTGTGTTTTAGTCGTTTGAGTGCTTGTTGTTCGTTCTTTGTCAAGTTGTTGTCACGTATAGAGGACGATTTTAAAGTGGAGGCTATCCTGCTTCTGATCTCGTCTTTGGTTGTCTCTGACAAGTCTCTTTGATACGCTATTTCACATTTCCTGTACACAAAATACAATGACGTAAGAACCAGATAACAAATACGGCTAACCTGACGTTTACTCCTCATTTGACCCTGAAGATGACTACCGCTAAGCTTGTCGAAACGTCGTCAGTCAACAACAACAAAAACAGTCCTTCTTAGGACTATACCAACCTGGACGATTTACATTTACAAACATGAAGTTCTAAATCTATAAATTTAAAACGATGTATCATAAGCTTCTAAAGGTTGATGACACTACGTAATATTGAGTTGTTGCTTTTCACCCAAATACTAAATTTCAAATCCAAAATATACTTAATAGAACAAGCAATTTACAAATTTCTCCATTTTGGAAGAGAAAAGTGAAAAGCAAAGAAAGCATTGATTTGAAAATACAAATGAAGTTAATTTTCCTCAAGCTCACCATTGCCATTGTCAATTTGCTCATTAAGTCTTTTGATCTGATTTTCCAGCATTTTTACTCTCTCTTTGAGTTCCAAGGCTTCTTTTTTATACTTGCATTTATCATTGCAAAGTGCACTACCTTCATCTGACTGACTCTCCTAAATAATCAACAAGAACTTAGGCAATATTTAACAATATTTTCCTTTTAGTACCAACTATCAAGGTGTACTTTACTAACAACAAGTACAATATATTATAATGATAAATCTCAATTTTTTAATTTCATAAGCCACACTGATTGAAAATTCTTTTGTATGATTGCCCTGTACAAGCCTTACACTGTACAATGTTTGCATTTTAAAAGATTTTTCACTTAGAAACAAGAAATGAATTTCAAAATAATAGCATTTTATGATTAACGGGAACATATCATACAGTATTAACTTTTTTAGCATTTAATCAAACAACATCCAAATTTTATTCTGAAAAATGACCTTAACTCCCTAGCATTCCTCATTAAAAATTAAAATTGCATAATTTAGAGATAAGAATAATTAGTGTTATCATTGTGTATAGTACATACCTTGGTTAATCCTTTTTTAAAAGTGAAGCAAGGCTTGCTGAGCAGCAAGCCTCTGTTTTCTTTGCCCAGGATGCCTTTAGCTTTTAGGAATACTGTGCTCCTGCTGGTAACAAGAACAACAATACAAAATTTTATACATGTTGTTTGAAAGTTTGTTATTAGCTACTACTTCTCATTTAAATTCTTAGGCTCATAGCCTTGTTCAGCAATGCAGACCTTCGAAAATAGAATTAGTAGCTAATAACATTTGAATCATGAATACCATATGGAGTACTTAACAAATTTCCATGAATGCATCATCACATTAGTGACATGAGTGCTAACTATAGATGATGGCAGCAATAATTGAGAAACATGCAGTAAACACCATTTAAACAAAATGTGGTCAATGTAATATTTCGGCAACTCACCACATCATCTGATTCACTATCACTTTCAATTGTAAACTTTGCTTTGTGAATTCTTTTGTGACACCCTTTGCCAGTATTTATAGAGAAAGTTTCTTCTTTTCTCATTGTCTTGAGTAAATAATCTTTACTATCTGTTTATACAAAATAATGGATGACTATTTAACAACTATTAAAAAATAATAATTTTCAATTGGAAGCAGTAGCATGCCTGAAATTATAAGGAAACAACCTTATGCAAAGTTTGGCCTAATGTATTACTACATGTATTTAAGAGCAAACAAGTTAAAATCTGGGAAATAGACACATCCTTATTGTCAGTATTGTAATTGAACTATTGCTATGTAGAAGAAAGAACAACATTTGAGCAAAGGCTTTTATCAGAAAGTATTTCCTCCTAAAAAGCAGTAAGTTGAATTGATAACAGCAACCTTCATATCAGCTATGACTATTTCTACAAACAAGACAGAGAAACAAACAAATAGATTTTCACACAGAAATTTACAGATATATAGCAAAGCTAAGATGCTTCATGAAAGAAATGATAACAAAGAGAAATAGCTTGATGCACTAGGAATTAGCTTTTTGGCTGAATTATACAAGCTTTTAGAAATTTTACAAAAAATTCTACAACAGACTAAAAATACTAACCTGAAACATTTATTATCTCTGCAGTAAATTTCCTCGACTTGCCGTTTCCCTTTGTTTTTCCAATGCCCCACATGTCTAAAGTTTTGAATCCTTTAAGTTCATCTTTGTCTTTCGACACATTTTCATCCTCAAAAATAATGTTAGAATATGGAATGATATCCATAAATTCACCAAAGCAAACGCCATATTTTCGAATATTATCGCTGAAAAAGTTTTATCAACTCTTAACGTATCTTTGCAACAAGCAACATGTTAATCAGATTGAAGATCATGGAATCGGGTAAAGATTAAGGATTACAAAATAACAGTCCCAGTCTCCCAACGCTCTCGTCTAAACCTAAACAGAATAGTTTGAAACAATATTGAAACAAAGCAAAGAAAAGTTTTTATAAGTTGAGGTAAGCCTGGTGTTTTCCGCGTTTCAAAAACCCATGTTAAGCGTTCATGAAAATACCCTGAAGTAAACATTAAAAATGGCTTATGAAAATCCGGTCGAATTATCAATTATCCGAGAAATACGAAGAAGTTATGGTTCTCAGTGGAGTGGGGGATGCTCTAGGTTATAAGAATGGTTTGTGGGAATTCTGTTACAGTGGTACTCAAATTCATGAAGAACTAGAAAAACTCGGAGGACTTGATAAAATTGACATTAAAGGATGGAGGGTTAGTGACGACACTGTACTACACATTGCTACAGCAGAAGCGTTGGTTTCTGAATGGGCAACAACGGAAGAGTTATTGAGCATTATGGCTACAAAGTACAAGAAGACATGTGCTGAGGATATGTGGGAAAGAGCTCCTGGTCAGACCACAACAAAGGCATGTTTCATGTTACGACCTCTTGAGGAAAAAGGTTACATTATACCATTTAATGAACGAGGTGGCGGATGTGGTGCAGCTATGAGATCCATGTGTATAGGTTTGATGTTTCCTTGTGAAGATCAAATTAAAATGTTAATTGAAATTGCTGTTGAAAGTGGAAGGATGACTCATAATCACCCCACAGGTATTCACCTTACATAATAAAGCAACGATTTCAGATCATGTATCAATTATCAAGTCACTAATGTCTAGTGTTCTTTCTATTGACAAGTGTCGCTTTGTATAAAGTTTGCTAGGTTTTCCTGTTATCTGCATTGCTTTTCATTTTAACAAACCTTTATAGTAATTTAGCTTTTCAATCCTTTTGCTTTTCTTAGATGTTTTGTACCATCAACTCTTCCTTCGATTACTTACTTGATCAAGCCATTACCATGAATGTTTCATATCCTTTTTTCTAATATCAATTTATAAATGAAATAAAAGAAGGTTGACCTTAGGTTTGCATAAGTCTATGCAATCCATCATTTTCCAGAACCACATCTCAAATGCCTCCATCCTTCTAACATTGCTTGCTTTTAATCACCATATCTTTGATCCATCCTTTTATCGCTTTTCCACATTTCCAAGTTTCTGTCTTCTAAAATCTGTATGAATTGCCATTACTGTTTTGCTTTAATATGTTCATTACTACAGTCATTGAATTTATGATCCATATCAAAATGCTGCTATTATGTAAATAGGGTCATCATAATGTAAGTGACCTGAAATTAGCAATCTTTAAAGATAATGATTTTAATTATAGTTTATCTAGGGGCTGTTACTGCAGCTTTATTTACAGCCTATGCTATACAGAAGATACCTCCAAAAAAATGGGGTGCAGGACTTTCAAGTGTTTTACCAAAAGTTTGGGAATACATTGAAAAGGTTGGTCGTGATGTAGAAGAAAACAAGAAATCTTGGGGCTACTTTAAAAATAGTTGGGAGTCATATCTTGAACTACGGGGATTAACCAAAGGAACCAGTGAACCAAAGTTTCCAGTGACATATAACATACCTGAACGTGATGCTTTTTATAAATCTGTAAGTTATGAAGGCTGGGGTGGATCCAGTGGTCATGATGCACCAATGATTGCTTACGATGCTTTGATGATGGCAAAAGATTCCTGGTTTCAATTATGTTCTTGTTCTATGTTTCATGGTGGAGATAGTGACAGTACAGGAATATTGGGTGCAGCTTGGTGGGGTGGTATGTATGGTATGAAAGGGGTACCCCCTGGAAACTATAGGAACCTGGAATATGGTCTTAGGCTTATGGAGCTGGGTAAAAAATTACTGAATGCATCGAAAAAATAGGAAAATGACTGGACAATTTTTATCTAACATAATTTATGTCAAAAAATTCTGTCATCCCAATATACTTTAGTAAGTTTGTGAATCATACAATAAAAATTCCTACTTGGTTATAACATAAAACAAATTACTTTAGAAATAAAGTCTAAAGGAAAATGTCAGAATCAGGGCACGGGCAGTTCTAAGTTTTACTTAGGATGATTCCTGGGCTGTAGAGTAAGTTTATTGACTAGATATCAGTGAAACAATTTATAGACAAGGACCATTACATCTTTTAGTTCATTTTACCTCACAAAATGCAAATTGGAAATCTTTTATTCACTACCAAAAATACCTTCTGAGGGAGAGGGAGTTAACTTGACAGGTGGAAGCCTTGCTCCTACGGTCTATGTGTTAAAAATAGGATTAACATAATTTGGAAGGTACAATTTTCTTTGAAACAGGTAGCTACCAAAGTTCAACTGTAAAGCTTGGTCATCTTCCCAAGTTTCATGATACAACACAACTAGATTTTTTAAAAGACTTAACGACATCAACCTGACTAGTTCCTAACGTGTTTTTTTTGCGAATTTTCTTAGCTTTTTTGTGAAGCTCTATAGCTTTGTCCTAGTTTCCAGTTTTTTTAAACACCAAACCAAGATTGTTTAAAGACGCAGCAACATCAACATGATTTGGACCTAACGATTGTTTTTGAATTTCCAGAGCTTTTTCATGAAACCCTATCGCTTTGTGGTAGTTTCCTGTATCAATATACACTTTACCAAGACTGTTTAAAGACCCAGCAACATCAACATGATTTGGACCTAACGATTGTTTGAATTTCCAGAGCTTTTTTGTGAAGCTCTAGAGCTTTGTCGTAGTTTCCATTTCATGTAATACCGTACCAAGATTGTTTAAAGACGAAGCGACATCAACATGATTTGAACCTAACGCTTGTTTTCGAATTTCCAGAGCCTTTTCATGAAGTTCTATCGCTTTGTCGTAATTTCCAATTTTATTAAACACCAAACCAAGATTATTTCAAGACGTTGAGAAATAAACATGATGTGAACCTAACGATTGTTTTTTAATTTCCAGAGCTTTTTTGTGAAACTCTATAGCTTTGTCGTAATTTCCAGTTTTTTCAAACACATTCCCAAGATTGTTCAAAGACGCAGCAACATAAATATGATTTGGACCTAACAGTTGTTGATGAATTTCCAGAGCTTTTTCGTGAACCTCAATAGCTTTGTAGTAATTTCCAGTTTTATAAAAGACCAGACCAAGATTATTTAAAGACGCAGCTACATCAACATGATTTGGACCTAACGATTGTTTTTGAATTTCCAGAGCTTTTTCGTAAACCTCTATAGCTTTGTCGTAATTTCTAGTTTCATAAAACACTATACCGAGATTGTTTAAAGACCCAGCAACATCAACATGATTTGGACCTAACGATTGTTTTTGAATTTCCAGAGCTTTTTCGTAAAACTCTATAGCTTTGTCGTAGTTTCCAGTTTCATGTAACACCGTACCAAGATTGTTTAAAGACGTAGCGACATCAACGTGATTTGGACCTAACGATTGTTTTCGAATTTTCAGAGCTTTTTCGTGAACCTCTATAGCTTTGTCGTAATTTCCAGTTTTATGAAACACAATACCAAGATTGTTTAAAGACACCGCAATATCAACATGATTTGGACCTAACGTTTGTTTTTTAATTTCCAGAGCTTTTTCGTGAACCTCTATAGCTTTGTGGTAGTTTCCAGTATCAAAATACACCAAACCAAGATTGTTTAAAGACCCAGCAACACCAACATGATTTGGACCTAACGATTGTTTTTTAATTTCCAGAGCTTTTTCTTGAAACTCTATAGCTTTGTTGTAAATTCCAATATTTTCATACACAATACCAAGATTGTTTAAAGATCGAGCAATATCAACATGATTTGGACCTAGTGTGTGTTTTAGAATTTCCAGAGCTCTTTCGTGAACCTCTATAGCTTTGTCGTACTTTCCACTTCTTTCAAGCACAATACCAACATTGTTTAAAGACCCCGCAACATCAACATGATTTGGACCTAACGATTGCTTTTTAATTTCCAGAGCTTTTTCGTGAACCTCTATAGCTTTATCGTAGTTTCCAGTTTTTTCAAGCACATTACCAAGATTGTTTAAAGGCCCAACAACATCAACATGATTTGGACCTAACGATTGTTTTAGAATTTCCAGAGCCTTTTCATGATGATTTTTAGCTTTGCTATACTTCCCGGTGTCATAGTATAAAAGACCGAGGATACTAAAATACCAAGCTTTGACATAACTAGATTCTTCTGATTTAAATTTATTCAATAGTTCAAGAGCAAGATCGTATTTTCCAAAATGTCTTAATCTGTCAACAAAATATTGGAAAACTTGTAAAGTATTCATGTTGATTTTTGTCTTGTTGGTCTTTAATATTTGAAGAATTTTTTCAAGATGTGGCATCAATTTGATTTCGTCGTCTCTCTGTTTAAACATGTAAAGTGCTTGAGCTATTTGGTCAACATTTGATTAGTTTCCATTTCATTTTCTTCATTCAACTGTTCAGATTGATAAACAATGGTTGCTTTGTGAACAATGCGATGTAGACTAATGTCATTATTTTCTGAATGCAAGAACAATGAGCAGTCCTTTAAACAAAGACATATATCTTCCTTTGAGTGTTTGGGATCAATTTTTTGAACATAAAAAACAATAATCTCTCGTGGTATAGGATCAAACGATATCACGGAAAAAAAGTTAATAACATTTGCCAATATTGAAGACTCTTCAGCATTTTGTCTGACAGCTAAAAGTAAAGCTTGTAACATACTTCTAGGATAAACCGAGTTAAATTTAACAAAAGTGGCGTCCATGTTTTCTTCTTCTTCTGAATAAAATTTCTCTAAATATTGTTTCCAAGTAAATGAGCAGTTTGCTTTGTTTACACGACTGACATAATAACAAGCAGCAGCCAAAGCCAGCGGTTGACGATCTAATGCGTGTGATACTTCATTTAACAATTGATCATCAGCATTTTCAATTGTGTAATGCTTCAACAGTTGAAAACATTCCCTATCATTCATTCCATTTCTGATAGAAATATGTTTGTTAAACTCATCATCTTGAGGTGCGGCATCTGTGTTCTGGATGGTTACTATGATTTGTCCATTTATCCACATGGGATCACCAACTTGGGGAAGTAACGAAGAAATTTTGCCAAGCTGTACCACGTTGTCTACAATGATCAACCAATTTTGCCAGAATTTTAATCGTGTGGATACTAACCATCGCAAATTCTTCACTTTGTCTGTAATGGAACAGTTTTCATCTTCAAATTTTTTTATCATATACTTGTCACAGTTTAAATGGTATCCAAGTTCACAGTAAGATTTTAAAAGAGATTCCTCATTTTTTCCATCGAGAGTCATTACAAACGAAGTTCTTTTTTTCCAATCACACGATAATTTTTCACAAACCTGTCTTGCAAGTTGTGATTTACCACTGCCAGGATTACCAGTGATGTAAAAATATGTCAGTTTATCATTGTTATCATTCCTTAATTTTTCAAGATCTTTTATAACTTTATCTCGTAATTCAGTGCGTTCAACGAAAAAATGATTAGGTTTTGAAGGAAGAACTTGGAATGAATTAAAACAGTGACGATGATTTTTTATTTCATTGATTTCATCAGGCGAAAATTTCAAATCTTGAAATGATTTTTCAATGATATTGACTATTTCATCAAAATCATCATCTGAGCATTCCCCTTCATACCAATGTGCGTACTTGTTTCTTTCACAACGAAGTGCATGAACAGCATCCTTTGTGTTTTTATCAAGATGCTTTTAATTGAATTTGAAAAAGTATAGCATCAAATAATATCGTACAGTCCCACTTACTGGTGTCTCCATCCTGATATTTTTGAAGTGTTTTTTGGTCTAACTTTCTTCCTGATTCAAAAGTGTAAAATTTGTTGCCACTTTTGGGTGTATCATCCCATTCTCCATGAGATGATTTGTAATGAAAGTTCCATTGTTTGATGAAAAACGAAGCAAGTTCTTTTTGAACAACATTAATTATTTGCAAAATGTAAAATAGGTTTCTTTTTTCTCTTGATTCTATCTGCAAAAAATTGATGTATCAACAATATTAAAATCAAGTATTTTACTGGACAGTTCACGTGACTTTCCAAACGACAGACATAGGAATTTAGACTTCTATAATCTTAGATCGTCATTTTTTGACGTCTTATATCTTTTAGACTGTTTCTAAGAATATGATATAATGTTCTAGCTGATAGCCTTTTCTTGAATATACCATGTAACGCTTATGGTAATGCTAACCATAGACTATAATGCGTTTATTCAATCATAAGTTAGTAAATGTATTTGTTTTGCAACATGCTGTAACACATTATAGTTTTTTCTTTGGCTACGAAAATTCAATGGTAATCGTAGAAACTTGTCATCAATTTTTAGAAGACCTAAACTACTAAATCAATAATCTTAGCTGTCTTTGATAAATTTTACTAGAAACGAAAGTTTATAATTTATGTTGATAAAATAGTATTTTTTGGGAATCATTTACGTAAAATCAGTTGCTAAATATTACTTTTCGGTTATGCTCAACTTTTTAAGATGAGTATTTTAAATACTCTTAAAAACTTTAGCATTTTAATCACAATTTTATTGCATTTACAATTGTAATTTTTAACATAAAAATAATCAAAAGTCGCACCTGCATGTCAAAGAACTACGTCATAAATCGTTTCTGAGCTTTTAGAAAAGACTTTCCGTTTTCAAAATGCTATATATAGAGAGAGAAGAATGTTTGTGAGTTACCCCAATGATATGCTCAAACTCAATACGCGAAAATGTTCGAGCGCTATTTCAATTTACTCGTTGATTGCATGCCGTTTACTTTACATTTCTCTATGGTCTCCACCAATTTACGAATAACGTTTGTGCCATGAAAAATGTGAAGTTATTAAAATGCTTTTGTAAAAAAATTATAAAGATTTTAACGTCATTAAGTCCCAAGATATTGCTTCAAATGAATAGTCGTTTTGCTTCAATGTTTCACAAAAAGATATTAAACTGTTGCCTTTAAATGTTCAACGAATTTTACTTGCACTACACTTAAGATTATGTTTGCCGATTTCAAATATTAGAGAAAGAACTTTTTGCGAGTTATTTCGATTCACTCGCAAACAACAAATAAAGTTATCAACTCGCAAACAGCGAGTTATTTTATTCACTCGCAAATTTCTCACACCTGAGAGTGCCTTGCAACTGAATCGCGAGTCACTCGCTCACTCGCCATTCGATACTCGCGATTCAAGTCATGTTACTCGAGGTCGGTACTGTAGTCAAGGTCGCTAAAACAGAGAAGGTGTATGCTGCAAAACAATGTCCAAATTTAGATGTATGGAATCAGAGGTTTGCAACCTAAAGAATGGACAAAATTTCTAAATTTCTAAAGATAGATAAAATGGAAGGAATGGTCAGTGTAAAGGATGATGTACTACTGAAGCATGTGTAGATAGAAAAAACTACTGAAGCATGTAGATAGAAAAACTACTGAAACATGTGTAGATAGAAAAACTACTGAAGCATGTGTAGATAGAAAACTACTGAAGCATGTGTAGATAGAAAAACTAAGAAGTAGATAAAAACTACTGAAGCATGTGTAGATAGAAAACTACTAAAGCATGTGTAGATAGAAAACTACTAAAGTGTAGATAGAAAAACTGGAAGCAAAAACTACTGATAGAAAACTACTGAAGCATGTGTAATAAAAAACTGAAGCATGTGTAGAAAAAACTACTGAAACATGTGTAGACTAGCATGTGTAGATATAAAAACTACTTAAGCATGTGCAGATAGATCAACTACTGAAGCATGTGTGGATAGAAAAACTACTAAAGCATGTGTAGATAGAAAAACTACTTAAGCATGTGTAGATAGATCAACTACTTAAGCATGTGTAGACAAATCAACTACTGAAGCATGTGTGGATAGAAAAACTATTGAAGCATGTGTAGATAGAAAAACTACTGAAGCATGTGTAGATAGAAAAACTACTGAAGGATGTGTAGATAGAAAACTATTAAAGCATGTGTAGATAGATCAACTACTGAAGCATTTGTAGATAGAAAATCTACTGAAATATGTATAGATAGAAAAACTACTGAAGCATGTGTAGATAGAAAAACTACTGAAGCATGTGCAGATAGATCAACTACTGAAGCATGTGTAGATAGAAAACTACTAAAGCATGTGTAGATAGAAAAACTACTGAAGCATGTGTAAACAGAAAAACTACTGAAAAATGTGTAGATAGAAAAAATACTGAAGCATGTGTAGATAGATCAACTACTGAAGCATGTGTAGATAGAAAAACTACTGAAGCATGTGTATATAGAAAAACTACTGAAGCATGTGTAGATAGATCAACTACTGAAGCATGTGTAGATAGAAAACTACTGAAGCATGTGTAGATAGAAAAACTACTGAAGCATGTGTAGATAGATCAACTACTGAAGCATGTGTAAACAGAAAAACTACTGAAGCATATGTAGATAGAAAAAATACTGAAGCATGTGTAGATAGACCAACTACTGAAGCATGTTTAGATAGAAAAATTACTGAAGCATGTGTAGATAGAAAATCTACTGAAGCATGTGTAGATAGAAAAACTACTGAAGCATGTGTAGATAGATCAACTACTGAAGCATGTGTAGATAGAAAGCTATTAAAGCATGTGTAGATAGATCAACTACTGAAGCATTTGTAGATAGAAAATCTACTGAAACATGTATAGATAGAAATACTACTGAAGCATGTGTAGATTGAAAAACTACTGAAGCATGTGTAGATAGATTAACTACTGAAGCATGTGTAGATAGAAAACTACTAAAGCATGTGTAGATAGAAAAACTACTAAAGCATGTGTAGATAGATCAACTACTGAACCATGTGTAGATAGAAAACTACTGAAGCATGTGTAGATAGAAAAACTACTGAAGCATGTGTAGATAGAAAAAATACTGAAGCATGTGTAGATAGATCAACTACTGAAGCATGTGTAGATAGAAAACTACTGAAGCATGTGTAGATAGGAAAACTACTGAAGCATGTGTAGATAGATCAACTACTGAAGCATGTGTAGATAGAAAAACTACTGAAGCATGTGTAGATAGAAAACTACTGAAGCATGTGTAGATAGATCAACTACTGAAGCATCTGTAGATAGAAAAACTACTGAAGCATGTGTAGATAGAAAAACTACTGAAGCATGTGTAGATATAAAACTATTAAAGCATGTGTAGATAGATCAACTACTGAAGCATTTACAGATAGAAAATATACTGAAACATGTATAGATAGAAAAACTACTGAAGCATGTGTAGATAGAAAACCTACTGAAGCATGTGTAGATAAATCAACTACTGAAGCATGTGTAGATAGAAAACTACTAAAGCATGTGTAGATAGAAAAACTACTGAAGCATGTGTAGATAGAAAAAATACTCAAGCATGTGTAGATAGAAAAACTACTAAAGCATGTGTAGATAGATCAACTACTGAAGCATGTGTAGATAGATCAACTACTGAAGCATGTGTAGATAGAAAACTATTAATGCATGTGTAGATAGATCAACTACTGAAGCATTTGTAGATAGAAAATCTACTGAAACATGTATAGATAGAAAAACTACTGAAGCATGTGTAGATAGATAAACTACTGAAGCATGTGTAGATAGAAAACTACTGAAGCATGTGTAGATAGAAAAACTACTGAAGCACGTGTAGATAGAAAAACTACTGAAGCATGTGTAGATAGGAAAACTACTGAAGCATGTGTAGATAGAAAAACTACTGAAACATGTGTAGATAGAAAATCTACTGAAACATGTGTAGATAGAAAAACTACTGAAGCATGTGTAGATAGAACATCTACTAAAGCATGTGTAGATAGATCAACTATTAAAGCATGTGTAGATAGAAAAACTACTGAAGCATGTGTAGATAGAAAAACTACTGAAGCATGTGTAGATAGATCAACTACTGAAGCATGTGTAGATAGAACAACTACCGAAGCATGTGTAGATAGATCAACTACTGAAGCATGTGTAGATAGAAAACTACTGAAGCATGTGTAGATAGAAAAACTACTGAAGCATGTGTAGATAGAAAAAATACTGAAGCATGTGTAGATAGATCAACTACTGAAGCATGTGTAGATAGAAAAACTACTGAAGCATGTGTAGATAGGAAATCTACTGAAGCATGTGTAGATAGATCAACTACTGAAGAGTGTGTAGATAGAAAAACTACTGAAGCACG